CCGCACCACCCTGTCTGTAGCATTTTCCACATGAAGAGATCCCACTTGATAACTGTGTCAGGGAGAGCTGGGCAGGCACAGCCATGGTGCCCCATCCTGCAGGGGAGGGGGAGGAAGGACAGGCAGGCAGGGGCGCGGCAGGGAGGAAGAGGAGGGAGCATGGGAGGCAAGCCCTTCCCTCCTCTCATCCCCTGGGATTTCCCTTTCACGTCCATTCCTATTGGACCCTCCCCTCCCACATGCCTACTTCTCCACAGAGAGTCCCTCCCAGGCCTGTCCTGATGTTCCAGACTCAAAGAGGTAGAGAGTGGGATCTGCCCTGCCCCATGGCGTCCTCTCTCCCTAAGTTAGCATCTGACTGTGATGTGCCCAGCAGGGCCCATGCCAAAGGTGAGCCTCACACTCACACCTGGACAGACGCCCGCGCCCGGCCAAAATGGATTGAATCCATTTAAAACACACACAGGGGTTGTGGCTCAGTGCTGACCATGGGCTGGATCTGTGGTTAGAGAGACCCCAGTGTCCGTATCCAACGCATGTGGAGGGGGCAACCTTGCTCCAACTTTCACCCTGAGTCCAGATCCCCTCCCTGTGTGTGGCCACCCTGGGTCCCTCTCTTGTCCACACAGAGGTGGGAAACCACACTGATGACTTCTGGCTCTACCCAGGAACAGTAGCCACTTAACTTTCACAGTGGTTGTCTGTTCTGCTTCCCTCTCCATCTGGGGAACTTGCACTTCCCTTTTTGGGCATTGAGGATGGCCACGTGTTTCAGAAACAGTGTGCACAGTCTTTCTCAGTATCAGAAGCAGATGGGGATTTGTACGTGGGTATATCAACCACCAATTCTTGCGAAGTTCTGAAAAACACCGCTCATGGCTCACCTCACAGGGCTTAGTCAGGTGTGGAAATAAACCAGGATGGCCCCCTCCAGGTCCCATTGCATCAACCCCACAACCACTCTAAGGAGTTAGGTTCTTGAAGACGTGCTGCATGAGATGAAACTGGGACTCAAGAGATTGTAGGTTGAGGGTGAAGGTCACACATCTAATGGACAATGGAGGACGATTTACATAAGAATCAGCCCAGCCAGCACGGCTCAGTGGTTGTGCATTGTTCTATGAACCAGGAGGTTGAGGTTTGATTGTGGGTCAGGGTACATGCCCGGGTTGGGGGCTCGATCCCCCATGTGGGGTGTGCAGGAGGCAGCCGATCAGTCATTCTCTCTCATCATTGATGTTTTCTCTCCCTTTCCCTTTTTCTCTGAAATCAATAAAGAATTATGTATATTTTTTTTCAAACATGTTAGGGGAGAAAAGGAAGAAGAAAAGTATGAGTGGCACTCTCCCCACTGGCCGTGGGGCCCGCTGGGAGCAGGACTGCTATGAGCACAAACATGTGTGGAAGCTGTGGTTCAGACCAGCTCTGCCAGTTGCAGGCGGGGTCTGGGGACCACAGGGAGCTCACAGATGTCCTTAAAGCTGAAGGTGTGTGCGGGAGATGGAACTGAACTCTGTCTGGGCAAGTGATGGGCTCCGTGTACAAAGCAAAGAGCAGCACAGTGACTCCTGGTGGCAAAGCGCACAAATTCACAGTCACCTGGGGAGGGAACCCGTGCTCATG